ATGGTCTTCATATCTTCAATGGAAACTATAAAGTTTATATGGCAAATTAACTATGCAGAAATCATCGATGCAAAGCAATTGTTATTTATTATAATAAAAGTCCGTGAGAAATATCAAAGTAACCTGGAAGACTATTCTTCCTGGAACTAACCGTAATGTATTGTGGCATTGAGTCTTGGCAACCTGCTCAACATGGAGATCCTGCTCTGCTTCGGGGTCTTCGGCTCCCATTCCTAGGTTGGGAATCGGGGAGAAGTATCAAGAATAAATCATGTTGAAAGAAGCTCAGAAGCCATTATTTTGCAAACTGGTTAAAATAGCTCTCCTATGGACTTAGGTCCCAGAGTTAAGTTGGCATTCTAAGCAGCAGACCTGGGGGCACTTTTGGGTGATCCATTTGCTTGGCGCGACCATTAGGCAAAGTACAATATTTAAAAAGTTTTCCGCTAATTGAATATGACATGTAGCTTGAAGTAATATCAACTAAAGAGTCAGAATGCCAACAAGTAGCACTGATAGGTATGCGACTAAACGAGAAAAATTAATTTCCCAAAGTTACTTGAAAACCTCAGAATGTGAGGATCTAAGCAGAATTAAAATTTAGAAATGCTATAAATGCTACATATGAGAGTCTCCAGCAGAACCAATAATCACAATGTCTACTCTCGAGTAGACATGCATATAATTAATATAGATATGATTTTGGAAACGGATGGTCTTAGCAAGATCTAGTATCAGTCAACCACCGGTCCATTGGGCCTTTTTCTGGTGTACCCAAGTTGTTTGACTTCTTTGATCCTTGCAATTGGATGGACCATGTCTAACTCTCTACAAATTTGCGAATAGCTCATGTGGATTCAGAACCAAAACTAACTCGTTAAGGGGTAATTATACTAGCATAAGATTATGAGAATCCCTGAATCCCTAAGCTTTTATGCGAAGAAAAGTTGGGTTTCGAGGAATCTCTTGTTTCATAATTATTGGGCTTACTTCCATTTCGAGTGAAAGTGTTGGATGAAGAGTTTCGAAGGTCGATTACACCAGAAGACGACGGCCGATTCCTCTTAACCAACTGTCGATTGGCTTTACTGGAACATTCATGCTGACAATCTCCTTCGATTCCGGTGAAAAGGTGCCAAGTTTTCGTGCGTCATACGACGGACATCATCAGAGCGAGGTAACATTGTCACAACAAAATTCAAGCTAACGAGTCAAGAAACCTCACCAGCAAATCCCTAAAAAGTGGCCTCTTTGATTAAGTATAAAGTGATTTGGTTAATTAAGGCATATGTCAGCATGAATGTTCCAGTAAAGCCAATCGATAGTTGGTCAAGAGGAATCCGCCATCGTCTTCT